CTATTTTTACCTTTTAATGCTTTTTACCTCAGTTTAGTGGTTAACTATTTGCCCATAGCTGGAACCCTAACAGGTGCTACCACCACGAGTCAGGGTGGGCCTGGGAACACCAGCAATTAAGAGGTGGTTCTATGCTCCTCAAAGCCTCCTGATCAGAGGCCTTGCTGTTGGACATAGTTTATTGTCTTACCCTGGATGCGGATGTAGTTTATCGTCATACCCAGGACACCAATCGGCTAATGGGTTACTACTAAGAAAAAACTTTGCTGGATGCTTAGATACCTTCATTTTTTTTTAAAAAATTATATTCTTTGAAAAATATCATAATTCTTGTGAAATGGAAGCTTTTTATCAAAATTCTGGTCATATATTCCCACCTTCATCTTCTTAGCTCCAGTAGACTCCTCTATTAGAATATATTGCCACAGCTTTAACATGCAAGGTGTTGCTACTCTGGTTTCTGTATCAAGTAGGTTTTTATGAGATGGAGTTGCCAGTCCAACATCAAACCAACAGAAATGTCATTCTCATAGATTGATTTCTAATGAAAGCTAGATACCTTGGCCTGAATCAATAGATGGGAGAGGAGAAGAGATGAATTCATACATTTGTGTGAAAGTAAATGCAGCAAACACAACTTGCCAATCCTGCTGTGCCAATAACTACTACACTATATGCTCTTCTCCATATATTTTAAGTCTTTAGAAATCAATACACATCATCTAAAATAGAAAATTAGTTGATGCAAAACAAATTCTTTTATAAGGTATTTGGCAGTATTTTAAATTATGTTTACTTAAAAGATAGGGCAGTCTAAAAAAAAATTTGAAATTTCAAGTTGCTCTTGAAGCATTTTGCACTTATCCTGATATATTACTTTCTTCATGTAGAAAAAATAGGAAATATTTTAAATTTTATTTATATAATTTTTATTAACTATATTATTGGGTGGGAATAAATTTTATTTACAACCAATGACATAGCTAGTGTTTTTTTGCCACCCAGGGTGGCCCTCAAGTCTGCAGCCCCTCCTCAGAAGGAATACAATATTACAATGCATATTGACCTCTGAAAGTTTATATATATATATATATATATATATATATATATATATATACACACACACACAGACAGAGATTCAATGACAAAATTATTTGTATACCCATCAATTTTTAATATTTTGATCTATTTCCCAGAATCTAATGCCTGTATGACGCCAGGTATTTTTCTGGGTTTCTGTTAACATGGTATTTATAACTCCTCACTGATAAATTATGAAATAAAAAGTACAATTGTACTTATTTATTTAATTTTTATAACTGGGGATATGTGAAAAAATGAAAACTTTATTTCTTTTTTTCTAAATCGGGAAAATATTAAAAACATTTTACAATATTAAAAGAAAGATAACTTGTTTTTGTTTATATACCCTGTGTTTTATTTAAAAAGGAAAACAAAAAATAAAAACACACATTATACTTTTAATTCATAATTTATCAGTTTTTTTAATATTTATTTCAATTCTAACAAGTGAGGAGTCATAAATTAAATGCCACATTAACAGAAACACGGTTCGTTTTTCTTTTAACAATGTAAAAAATGCAATGTTTTTTAAATTATTTTACGTAGTTGTAATTATTATTAGCAAAATAGAATACGAAGAATTAAAAGTCTGATAAAATGAATTTCACTTTTAGAAACTGAAATAAATGTTATCATACTTTTAATTCTTAGTCTATTTTGCTTAATAAAACTTCAACTATCTAAACAAAAAAATAAAACGTTGCATTGTTTTACTACCGTGAAAACTTACAAACTGAAAAAAAAAATTCCCATTTTTGGACTTTAAATAAAGTTTCTGCATTTAAAAATATATTACTTTTCAATTTTCTTTTAAATTTCTTTTTAATATTTCTGGAAAAAATTGGAATGCATGTAATATCTTTAAAGCATTAGAATTATTTCAATTTATTTATTTATCTATCTAGACCTATGATAAAATAAAAAAAATCAATTGGTTCAGTTATTTATTTAATGTTTTTTCATTAAAACAATTCAGACATGAAAAATCAAAGAACTGGATTTCTCACATAGGTGTGAAAAAGCTGTGGATTCACTAAATTTATTTAATCCAACCCTACATCAAGCCCTTTAAAACTGTTCAAATTTTTTTCATACCTTTTGAATAAGCTTACATTAAATCTGATTCTGAGATATTATTTATAATGTGGTTAATCAAAAAGTGAATTTGCATCTTTTTTAATTATTTTAAACTCGAAATATGCAATAATTTTGCTACAATTTTCTAACACCAGAATTTACAGTATTGTTAATGAGATGCTTCTGTTCAGTTAAGAATAAATTCTTTTTAGTTTGCAGTACCTGAAATGATAAATGAGCAAACGTTTTGCTTAACCATTTAGTGCCTATTGTTCCACTTGTGGAACATATTGTAAGACATATTTTTTAATACCAGACAAGCATTAGTTTTTATTACTTTATGGATAATATATATAGAAAAGGCTAAAATACTATATGTACTTACAGGTTGTGTTAAAAATACAATTAATGTTTGGTATCAACAAAAATATTCTAATAAATGTTTCCCCTAGTGGAGCAATGATCATTAAAAAATTGATGTTATTTGATACCAGAGAGCTTGTAAGTTAGATAGCTTGTTATCTAGTTCAGAATAAAACTAAAATATTCAGCCAAGATATTTTGATATTTGATCCCAACTCATAAGGTAACACTCACAATCATAAACACAGCAAAACTTTGAAGAAAAAAAAAATTACACATTATCTGTAAAAAATACAGTAATTTGCTACTTAACCTAGTGTAGTTAGTTATGCAGCGATAATTTAAAGAGAATCATTCTTCAAATTTTTAGTTGATCTGAATTTTGCAATGACTCAGTTTTACAGAAAATACATTCACACTTGTGAGTTAGGTAAATTTCTTATTTTTTTTCTTTGGCTAACCCTATTCATTATATAAGTCATAAATATTAGTAGTCTATATGAACAAATTAAGATATGCTGTTTCAAATCCCTTATTTAGTAAAGGTAGTGTTCTTGTTATGTCACTATTATGTATTCTTTTGGAAATATTTATTTTTATCATTTTTCAGCTGTTGTATTATTAAATCTTCTTCAGGTATCTATTGTATCTGGCATTGAAGGTTGCTCAATAGGATTGATATCTGAAAGTACAGTTCCTAAAGCATAATAAAAACAACATGAGGATGTAAATTCAAAAGCATTGAGTAATAAATTTAAGAAACTAAGACAAAAATAAATATATAACATTTTGTAAAGTCATAATAATCTCTCACAATCCAACTCAGCTCCAGTGCTAAATACCAGGAAAATGGATAGACAAGTCAATTCCTGTCCTTGGTAGTGCTAAAATGTCAGATTGTTTTAGTGGATGAAACAGACAAGTGACACAAAGATGAATTAAAAAGGTGAATATTAACTGATATGAAATATCCCGAAAGCATGAAAAACATAATGAGACCAATCTACCCCTGTGAATTGAATAAACAGTTTGGTACAAAATTCCATTAAGGTCTTTGGCCGACAACTAAAGAAGGCTGGTGGGTGTGGTACCCAAAAATGTGAGTATAACAACCAAGATGAACATACTGGTCAGAACAACAAAAAATACATAATTCCTCAACTCAAAGATTCAAATATAAATTAAATTTAAAATATCAAGTGTTTTAAGTAAGCCGAGTTGAATTTGCTGAAATTATTTCAATTCATTTATCTATTTTATAATTTATGTAAAATAACAATTTTATATCCATATTAAAGGTAGGCCTACAATAAGATAAAAAACAATTGGTTCACTTATTTAATTTTTTTTATTAACAGTTCACAGACATGAAAAATTAAAATCAAGGTACTGATGCCAAAGTCTGGTCTTCTCATATAGGTGTGTAAAAACTGTGGATTCACTAAATTTACTTAATCCAACCTCAGATCAAGCCCTTTAATAATGTTCAAATTTTTTTCATGTCTTTTGCTCATGTCTTGTAAGTGGGGTTTATCCCCACCAGCTGACAGCATATTTAGGAGACAATTTTTATTGCTGGCTGACAGGTTTTGAGCCAGCCATAGCAAAGACAAATTGGCTTCATTTGAACCCTATCTTCTTTATCACTACTTTTTTTGCAAAAATTATTGAAATTACGCTATTATTTTTCTTTACTAAAATCCCCCTGCAGAACAAAAGTGCTGCCCAGGGTGGACTGCCAAATCACTACTGTTTCCAACCCAATATAATCATCCAATTTCTGTTTCTGGGTATGACCGAATGGAAGAAATTGCATTAATTTATACTATTGATTATTAGAGACCAAACGGAAGAAAATTATATTAGGTGATGTTCTATTCTGTTTCCAATATGAACAGAGAAAAAAAAAAAAAAAAGACAATATTTTTTTTTAATGAAAGGAGTTATAATTGAACCGGAATTAGGTGCAGGTAAAATTATGACAAGAGTCATGGTATTCTCAAAGTAAAACAGCCATATCAGATGAGGTTGTGGGGGTCAATCAACTGTTGACGACAGCTATGAAACAGGACTGTTTAATCAAGAAGAAAGCATTTTCCAGCTGTGGATTGTAAACCAAAACAATGTGTCAACACAGAACAATGGATGCCCTCTGACCCCGACGTGATGAATTGGAAGTGAATTTTGTTAACAGGGTTTAAACAGGCCAGGTAGTTTGGAAATTCTAAATTTGAACAAAGCCAAAACACATTTATAAAGTGTGTCATAAGGAAATTGCTTATTTGGTTATCTATAGCAGGTTCAAAGGTTATGCTAATTGGTGAAATATGGAAAAAAAAAAAAAAAAAACTGAATTTTCCTGGGAAACTAATTTGGTATTTTGGAAAGAAAGAAAAGGCCGAGAAAAGGACTGATGTCATGAAGACAACACTATCCTATTGGCTGTGTCATGAGGGAAGAAGACGAAAAGAATGATGTCATAGAAATAATGCTATCTCATTGGCTGTGTCACAAGGGAAGAAGACACAAAGAAATGAAGCCATAATTTCATTGGCTAACAAGGGTCTGAGATGAGGTTTGCAGAGACACCCCAGTGACCATCGTCCCCATCCCAGTAAAGGATGGACAAGCATAAATACAGAGCCCCAAGGGGGTATCGAGAGTGCAGTTGCACTACAGTTGAGTTGCAGTTCAGTTAGAACCGGAGAATAGCCGAGGAGTGAGGCTTGAAGTACCAACACCGCTGCCCGCCAACCTCCGCAACAATCAGAGACAGTCTTCGTCAGTTTGTGAGGCTTTGGTGTGAAGAAATAACGCCAACCAAGAACTCCGACCGGAGTGAAGAAATAACCCCAAGCAGAAAACTTGAAAATCACCCCTTAAGGAAATTAATTGAGACTTCCGTTCCGTGGTCAGCTTGTTAGGAACAGGGGTTGGGAAGAAGACAATTGGTGATTGTATTCCGAATTCTTCTGTATATAAAAACTTTCTTTTTTACAACGTACTCAGACGTTGTTCTGTTTATATTTGGTGCCATTTCATTTACCCAATTGTGTGTCCGTGTCCAGATTGGTTTGACTTGGCGGAGAGACACCTGGCGAAAACCCATGTGGCTTCCTTGAGATCAAATTCACAGCGTGGGCAAGGGAGTTCACTGTGGGTGGAGTTGACTCAGAGACCAGCTTCTAGCTACCTGCCTCGTCACTGTCAACGAAGAATTCGTTCTGGGACGAGGGACCTTCGTGGTCTGGTTCCCGGAAGGCCGATCCAACGCCGTGGGATGGTCACAGGTATTTGCTTGTTACTTTAATACAGCAGAAACAGTCCACCATAACAAGATTTTTGTTAGAGCAACACCATTAAAATGGCCTAACTAGAAAAATAAAACAATTTCCAATCCAGTTTGCTATTTAATAATAATCATGAGAAATCTGCATTCATGCTCACCCCTGTAATAACGATCCAATTTTTGTATTTTTCTTTGTTAAAAATGCTGAAAAGAAAATATGAACATTGAAATAGATGGTTAATGAAAAGATTACTAATTATTGCATAAAACAATGATGTCCATGATATAACAATGCCTTTATTTTGTAAAAAAATATATTTTTATTGCATTTTTCTTTTTTTTTTTTATACAGAAATGATTTTTTAAAAAATAAATGTAACATTAATTCACAGGTATTCTTAGTCATCTGCATCCCGAGTCATCTATCAGTTCCATTTATGCCCCAATAAACGTCAATAAAGAGACAAAAATAAAGTCAACAAAGTCATCATTCCAGATACCTTGTTTTATGGTGCTGAATCCAAAATACTTCTAACAGTGCTGCCTTTGCATCATTCTCAATGTGCACTAGTGTGCCAGGTGCTGAGAAAGAAAGATGGTAATCTTCCAAAGACCCTTATGTTCAGTGAACTGGTTACAGGTGGGTGTAGCATTGAAGTGATATAAGGAATCCATAAAAAAAGAACCCTTGTCTAATGTGGCAATGACTACTACCAGTGAATAACAGTCTCCCAATTGAATGAGAGCTGATTTGTGGGTATGTAGTAGACGAATATTTTATTACACAGGTTGTACTTACTTTATGAATTTAAGCATACTACAAGATTGGCAACAACATCTCATCATCCTACAGTTGAAATGGCAAAATGTAATCATGAGTTCTATGACAACAGTTTCTTCTTTTGTAGTTCTCATTTGTGGAACTCTCTTCTGGTTTCTTGCTTCTCACTCAACTTTGACCTTCAAAAATTTAAATGCAGTGTCAATCATTATCTTCTGTTTTCTTAATTCAGTCAGTTATGTGCCATGCATGATACACACTTAGGCAATCATGTATCTTTCGATACATAACTGACGAGGTAGATTTTTTTCCTGCAGTAGGTTGCCATTTTTTTCTGTGGTAGACCAGTTGCCATCCAAGGCTATAGAACCCGGTCTGTCCTGCTACTTACCCATAGCTGGGGGGGAGAAGAAAAAGATTCAACTAGAATTCAAACTTGGCTCTCCGATTCTATTAATTAAATATTGCTGCCACATCTGGTCAAGTGTTTCTTCTATATATTTAGAGATTCTTGATAAAATACAAAAGAATCTGCAATGTTATTGGTCCTGACCTGGCATCTCAACTTCAGTCACTTTCCCACCACCATAATGTATCCTCCCTGTGCCTTTTCTATAAATATTTTCATGGTAATTATTCTGATGAACTTTCCTCTATGAATTTAAGTCTATGACTAGATTGGCAGCAAGGTCTCATTGTTTTAGAGTTGAAATGGCAAAATGTAACCATTAGTTCTATGCTAACAAGTTTTCAATACCAGTCATCGGTGTACTTTGAGACCAGAAGAAAGTCCTCAGTACCGGTCATCGACATACTCAGTGACCGGCAGACAAGTCTTCAATACCAGTCGTCGGCATACTCAGAGACCGGCAGACAAGTATTCAATACAGGTTGTTGATGTACTCAGAGACTGGCAGACAAGTCTTCAATACTGATCATCAACATAATAAGAGATCAGCAGACAAGTCTTCAATACTGGTTGTTGACGTACTCAGAGACCGGCAGACGAGTCATCAGTATCAGTCATCAATCACTATATTGATTAACATATCCTTAACTATTATCAGTCAGAAACAGAGTGCTATATTAATCTTATGAAAATCTTACCAATAATTTTCAGAAACAAAGTCTAACATCTAATATAAGATTATCTAATTCAGACAGCATCAGTCACAGTAAACAGGTTAAATATACACAATCAAGATACAACAAAAGATTTTATAAACCTTGTCCATTTCATCTGGGGTTTGGTTACAGGAGTTAATGCTTCAGCACCAAAGTAAGAGTGTAGTGCTGTTGGAAGATCAACTTTGCCATTGTCTCTTTGATTGTTCTCAACAAGAGCCATAAGAATTCTTGGGACTGCACAAGCAGTACCATTTACTGTATGTACATATTTTATGCTTCCATTGTCCATTTTGTATTTGATGTTTAAACGCCGACTTTGAAAATCAGTACAGTTTGAGGCACTTGATATTTCACCCCAGAATTTCTTTGCAGGCATCCAAGCTTCGGAATCAAATTTTCGTGAGGCAGGAGCTCCCAATTCTTGACTAGGCATGTCTAAAATCTGAAAATGTAAGCCTAGCTCTGTGTATAAATCAGTTTGAATGTCTACAAAATGCTGAAGCATTTCATCACTCTCAGAGCCAGAATCCTGCCCAGTTACAGCAAACATTTCAACTTTGGTGAAATTATGCACTCTGTAAATTCCTTTTTCTTCATCAACTCCAGAGATCTCAGCTCGGTGACATCGACTAACAGCAGCTACTTTAATTGGTAACTGGTCAAAAGTCAGTAGCTGATCAGAGAAATAGCCACCAAGAGCCATTTCTGAAGTTCCAGATAAGCACAAAGGATCATTGAAGTCTGTTCCTATTTTGTAAACTTGAGTTCTTTCACCTGTTGTCGTGAAGCCACAACCTTAAAAATAAAAAATAATAATTGAAAAAATATCTTATTAGGGTACAAATTTCAATAATTGAAATAAGGGATATTAAAATGATACAACAGAAAAGAATAATAAAAAAAAATCCTACAGTGAAGAGGTAAATAGAAAAACAAAAATGAGGACAAAAAAGCTTAACCAGTTCAGATTCCTCTCTTGTCAGGGTGACTAAAATAGAATACCAAAGACAGGATGCTATATATAGTAAATATATAATCATCAAAGGTTGATAACAGTCATACCTAAAAAACACTCCTTCTGCTTACAAATGGAGGGCTGGAAGGACTTAATATATAAAGTCTAAAAGACCTTTAGGAGAAAATTCAAATGAGCCTTCCTCAGTAGCATGAACCCTGTTCTTGCTATTTGTCCTCTAGATTAAATGCAAAGACAGTTGAAATGAAAACTGAGACTCTTATGATAAAAAAAATAAAAAGTTATAGGTTAAATGAAGCCTGTTTAACAATACTACATTTGGTCTTTTTTCATGCTGCTAAGCCATAATCAATCAAGCAATGGTAAAATTTTAGGAGGCCCAACATGAAAGACTAATCAATACTAATCAACATTGAGCAGAATAGACAGCAATTACAACAACCAACTTTCATGGTACATACTCTTTTGCACTCTGAATTGGCAGAGTTGGATTGTAGAGCCATTTGAAAATTAAAATTTTTTAATTCTTAAATGGCACTGCAATCCAACAGCATAAGGAAAGTATTTTTGAGATCTAAAGGACACCATAAATGGCAGGTGCAATGAGTCAAGTGAAGAACATAAAGTTCAATACATTATAAAACAACAACAATAGAGAAATATAGTATATGGCTGTATTATCTGATGAAATAAAGATATAAGCATGAAATTAACCAGAAGCAAGGATTAATTTAAATGTTTATATAAGAAGATAGTCATTGCTACAAGTGAAATGATCATAGGAAAATTTAGAAACACAGAGATCAATACTAATAACTCTGAGAGAGAGAAAGAACTCAACATGGCTAAAAGAACAAAACAAGAGTTATATTAGAAATAATTAAGCAACAAACTGCAACCATTTTTTACTCAATTCACCCTAATCCAGGCAACAATGCCACTAAGATGCCAGAGGCTACTGAGAGTTAAAGATAATGAAAAGACTTTAGAAGGAACCAGAAACCCAATTCTAAACAGGAAACAGAGGATAAACCTCTACTCATGTTCAAAAGACCAGAAACAATAGGTGAACCTATCTATGTCTATTAAGGAAAAAATAAAATGTAAAGAAGATTTCATAGTTTAGGCAGGGACATTAGAAATATAGAGTTGAAGTAAACTTTAGAAGGAACCAGAAACTCAATTCTAAATAGGAAACACGGGATAAACCTCTACTCCTGTTCAAAAGACCTGAGAATAGGGTGAGCTGGACAATAGGTAGGTATATCTATTCATATTGAAATTGGTTTAGTTTTATTTTGTTTTGCCATATTAGTCATGTTTTAAGATGGAAGAGGCCAAGAATAATAGTCACTGCAGGTTGTCTAAAGCAACAAAAACTGACTGAAAGGTGGAACAAACTTTAGCATAGGGTTGCCAACAAGTGCTTGCAGTGACATGTATTATATCATATTATATATTTATATATTATTTATATTATATATTTATACTAGATCCCATTAAACACTTTTTCTTGTCTCATAGAATCGTTGCAGTTGAAGCTACTCTCATTTTCCAAGCACAGCTGTCATCTAGGAGGGATAGCCAATCCTTGTTGCAAACACCTGCTCAGGTGAATTTGTCCAACACCCATAGAGCCCACCTGTAGTTTATGCTGCAACTATATTGAGCAGACTTTAGTTACAGTTTCTGGAAGAGAGTGCATAGTCTGTTAGTATCAGCAGTTTGAACACTCAAACCTTCAGTCATGATAACATTATGCTAGTACAACCATTGATTGCTTCTGAACAGTTCCATCTAGCCAATTTCATTTACAAAGCTTGGGTAAACACATGTACAGTTTTCAAACACTTTCCAAAGGTTCTGTATGCTGGGATCACCTATCCAGACTGATGACATCAAGAAGTCCCCTTCTTGATAAATTGATTTGAACCTGGGTCTCATGGTCAAAAATCAAACATTTTAACTACATGGACATATGCCTATATATTATTTATTTTAGGATATTAAAACAAAAACATGTTTAAAATCGCTACACGATTATGTTTCATCACTACAAATGTGTCTCCTCAGGCGATGGCAAAATACTGATGAGTGAATGATGAATTTAATTTCAAATCTCATTTTATATATATATATATATATATATATATATATATATATATATATAAATATATATATATATATAGGTAAAAAATTCTGTGGAGAAGTAATCCAAGTAGATCCTATTAATATAAATTTATTGAAACTGATCCACAGCTCAATATAATTTTTATTATAGAGCATATAAGTGAATTACAATTAATGAGATCCAAACAATTTACCTCATACAGATGATCATTTTGTCTATGTAGTTTTTCCCTGGACTTACTTACATTTACTAAAATAAATAAACTGTTTCTTCATAGGAAATTTGAAAGGTAAAGGAAGGAAAGAAAGAAAAAAGAAAGAATAAAACGAGAAGGGAGTAAGAATTGGCCTATAATAAAGGAGGGAGTTATATAGACAAGGTGGGTTAAGGGACCTAAGGTAGTTCTTGTGGAGTTGGATACAGATAAACATGATGGTTGAAAATGGACACTGACATAATGTAACCTATCAACACCTGTACAAAAACAAAAAAGGCAATGAAAGGCAATAATAATTTTAAGCTCCTCTCTAAAAGAGGAGCTTAAAATTATTATAGAATGGAAGTAAGAATTTAAAATAAATACTTTTTTTTAAAAAAAAGATGTTAATATTAATACATTCAATACTACATCTTTAACTATATAGTAAGAGTTACAGTAAAAAAAAAAATTAATAAGTAATTAGTAAATTATTAATATATTAATTTCATTTAAATATAACTCATCTCATATCAATATAATATCAATAAATTTTCCAATACTAAGTTTATAATTTAAATTATATCATATTTATACTAATTATTTAAAAATTCTGTAAAGGATTAAATTTAAATTCAGTATATAAAAGAAATTAGTATTATAAAACAATGAAAGATAGAAGAAAATTCCATATATAGAAAACATGTAACAGGGAGAGAAATATTTAGATATAGAAGGAAATTCCACATCACAAAATCAATTTCACATATAGAAAAAATTTTACATATAGGGAAGATATCACAATAGAAAAAAATTCACATATAAAAATATAAATGGAAGAGAGGAGTGTGAGGTTTGGCTGATATTATTTTAGTTGAATTTTTTTCCTGTAGCCACACTTGGAGTGTAGGGTTGAAATAATGTTATGTCAATTGGAATTTTTTCCTATAGTGTCACTTGGATACCAATTCATTTCTTTTGTTTAGTAGAATATCTTAGTCCTTAAATTTAATGATTTTAATTTTTCCTCCAAACATAAATTACATCTACCATTAAAACTATTTGGAGTCTGAGCAAAACCTATAAATTTCCAGTCAATTTGAGGGTTCAGGTCTTTCTCCCTCAATTCCAAAAAATTTTTGGGAGGGAGTAGTTTCGTGTTTTAATCTTGGGTTGGAAAAAGAGTAGTTATTTATAACCACAGACACACTTTTTGAACCCACAAATTGACTGGGAATTTATAGGTTTTGCTCAGACTCCAAATACCTTTAAGGTTAGATATAATTTATGTTTGGAGGAAAAAATTAAAATCATTAAATTTAAGAATCAAGATATGAGTTGTGGATAAACTGTCCAAATTTCATATTTTGTTATTTTTGTTGAAGTGCTATTGCATTCATTATCAAGAACTAATGTGTTGTCTGTTTGTAGTTAGAATTCCTTTGTCTACATCCTGGTATTATTTGTAAAGCTGGAAGCTTGAAATGGTCTAGCATGATGTCATGTGTAATGGCTATTGGGAAGGAGGCTGCACAAAAAGAATATGATTTATTTTATAATACTAATATATGCACATATTAATTATATCATATGCACTTCAAGATACCATCTACTGTGATAAATATTTTATTTAGTGTGGTCTGTTTATTTTGTATAATAATAGCTTTTAGGGTTTTGAGTTTTTACTTGCATTGGGTGCTGTAGAGTATTTTGGTGTTATCCACTAGTGTTTGAATTATGTTTATAATTATATTTTAGTCATTCATAAGGTGCTGATCAATGTGTGCATGGATTGCACTGAGTTTCAGCAGGTAACAGGTCAATCTGTAGAGAGTGTGGTGCATGTGTGTGTGATGTAAGTATTTAATGCTGTTTTTTGTTTATTAGTGTTGGAGATACAATCTCCCAGGGTGCATGAGAATTTATAGACTACATTATTTTTATGGGGAAGGCGGGGTATTTTTAAGGCCCAGTGAATAATTAAATTTATCTACTATAAAATGTTTAAAATGTCTAATTATTACCAACAACACCGAGCATTCTTCAACAGTTTCTCTTTATATTTGGTAACCTACTTAGAACTTTGAAGCAAAACCTTTATTCATTCTACAACAAAGGTGAAGAAAGCTTGTTGAGTAGTAAAAATATCCCCTAAGAAAGGAAGGCAAAATTAGAACAATTTCACCTTTTGGATTAAATAGAGGCCTTGGCTTGAAATTCCAGAAGGGTTACTGAGTACAAAAATAGAAGGTCAGAGGGTACAATGGCCAAAATATTGTGAGTATAACAAACAAAGTGAGCATACTGGTCTAAATAGAAAATCATACAATACTGAAAATAATATGATTTTATTGTTGTATTATTTTGTTTCTATTTCAAAGACTCACTGTGACATTTCTTATGGCCCTCTTAGTGTAGTAAAGAGTTCTTGTGATCCAACACTAGACATTTTACACAACACGGCAAGTTGCTATAAAACCAAAACATTAACCTAATCACTTCAGTGATGTTCTTAAATAGTCTCATCAGATCAGAACTTTCATATGGATGTCATGCATGGCACTAAACTCATTGAGAAATATCTAAACTCTCTGTTGTATACAATGGCTTTCTCAGATTAATGATTAAAAATGGCTTCCAACAAATTGTCTATAGGTCTTAGCATGAACCTTCCTTCTTTGAGCCTTGTGTTATAGACTCACAAAGAACTGTACTAAATAACAGAATCCATATCAATTGAGGACTTTCAACAGATCAGAACTTTCATATGGATGTCATGCATGGCACTAAACTCATTGAGAAATATCTAAACTCTCTGTTGTATACAATGGCTTTCTCAGATTAATGATTAAAAATGGCTTCCAACAAATTGTCTATAGGTCTTAGCATGAACCTTCCTTCTTTGAGCCTTGTGTTATAGACTCACAAAGAACTGTACTAAATAACAGAATCCATATCAATTGAGGACTTTCAACAGCAGCAACAACTAAAATGAATAGCACATGTAAGTAAAGAGAAAATAATGACATAATCAAGATGTTGACATTACACACTACTTTGAAGAAGAAATTATGAAGGAAGTCTATCATTAGTGAGAAAAATGATAACAATGAACTTGAGAAAACCTATTTTTCTGAAAAATTGTTTTAAGAGAAAGATTTTATAAATTTCAACTCGCAACAGCATTTGCTGCTTGGTCAATGAATGCTAAATGTTTCCACACAGAGAAACAGAATAGTACCATTACCGTATTTGAGACCTTGATAGTATGGAAAATGTTTCCAGTGGTTTTGTTAGCATATATAAAGTTAACTAAAAAAATAAATAAATGAAAATGAAATTAAACAATAATAAGAATTTTAAAAAAATACCTTCAATGATTTCTGGTTTAAGAATTTCTGGAACTGACACTAACTGAAATCCTTGGTCTTGGAGACGATCAAGAGTAAACCTGACCAGAGCCTGTTCCAAATGGGCAAACTGGTTTTGTAGGAAATAGCTACGCTGACCTGTGCTAATGCCCAAGTTGGAAATTCGCAACCAACCAGCCTTTTCTGCAAGTTGGACAATTGGCTGCTTTATTTTATCATCTGCTTGAGGTTGACCAATCATTTTCACAAGCTGGGCACATGACTCATCTCCAACAGGAGCTTGGGGATGTTTTTTGTTTGGGATGTCAGAAGCCAGTTGCTCAAGCTGAAGCATTAACCTTTGCTTCTCATCAGGATCATCTTCTTGGCCAAACTGTACAAAATAAAAACATTTCATTAATCAAATCTGTTATCTAGAGTTGCCACAATAGTGGCATGCAGTGAATTTTTGTGTTCATTCTACACTGTAATTATTTTTTCTCTTCATACTAATCATTTCCTTATTCGAAATAGGTATTATTACTTTTTTACAATAAATAATAGTTACTTTCTTATTAATGGCAACTAATTTTATTTATTTTTACTAAAGGATTAGGTTAAATTATTAAACAAAAAATTGAAAACAAAATATGTATTTTTCAAAACACCAATAAATTATAGTTAAGATTTTCATGCTAGATTTATTCTGAAAATTTTTTAAATATATTAATTTTTTGTTCTTCTTTTATGCAACATGTCCCTTTATGAAGTGGGCAATCATGGCTCTCCACATTTCCCATCCTTTTTAGCTCTTACCAAAGTTTGTGTTTTTACTATCCATCCTCCTCCTTGTTCTGCCATCCATTTACACAAGTTCATTAAGTAAGTTCCTTGCTGTTTCCTTCTGGCCTTCAATATATCCTGTAAGTGTTAAGTTTTCCAACTAAGCCTTCTTTCCACATTATGTGTCCTATAAATTTAAACAGTCTTTTTCTGATTATTCTTTTGATAAAAAAAGAAAGTTGTCAAGTGGTCAAATGCCCTGCACACCTTTGTTAAGCAATGAAGCAGTTATAAAGAATATAAATTATTAGAAAGAATAATTGCGAGGAAATATAACAATTAACTTAAAATGACACGTGTACACAAACAAACCAAACCAGCTGAGTTTGAATTACAGTTGAATCCATTACATTCACTTATGTGCTAATACCCTTGGGAAAGGTATGAATCCTCTTCTTCTACCCCCAGCTATGGATAAATAGCAGGACAGACCAGGTTCTATAACGTTGGATGGCAACTGGTCTGCTGCAGAAAGAAATGGCAATCTACTATGGGAAAAAAATTTGCCTCATCAGTCATGTATCAAAAGATGATAGCTTACGCGTGTATCACGCATAGCACATAACTAGCAGAAACCGATTCTTAAAAGTTTTTAATAATTTATAATTCGTTGATAAGGGGAGATAATTCTTTGCAAAAGTGCTATTGGAGCAAATATTTGAATAATTTTAAAATTATAACAAGTTCATTATTATGGTGTTACTGTTAACATTACTTTTTCATGTAATTATGAAAATCGTTATTTTTCCTGAGATACTGTTCTTTGTTTATTGTTCAAAGTCATGGTAAGTTCATCAAATTAACAGTTTAGACTACTAAAAGGATTTTTGGGAAACTGAGTGGGAGAAGACTAAAAGAGAACATTATCTCTCGTATTCGGAATAAGGTGTGCATAGTATACGAAAGTAAAACAAGACTAAAAACTCTTATGTGAAATTTGAAATAGCCAAATATTTATGTTTTACAAATAAGCTTGCACAAAAATTTCCTTTTGCGCGACTTAAAAAGTATGATAACGAAGTCAAACAATTGAATAGAAATATAGCTTACAAACAAGATAAATTATTCAAAAATTTCCAATAATTGAAAAATTTTGAGAAGGTACTATACAAATTTCTTTTAAAAAAGTTCAAAACAAAAACTTTTAACAAATGAAATATCTTTTAAAGGTTCAAAATACAAATTCTTTAAAAATTAACTTTTAATTAATAGAATCACTGGGACTTTAACAGTTTTGTTCTTTTTTTTTTAACAGTTTGAATCACTTCCCTGGTTTCACTTTGGTTCTGCTTCTTTCTTTGTTTACTTCTTATTACTTCTTCTGTAAGAAACAACTCTGATGAGCAGTCATCCACTGGTGACAGGCAATAACTTTTCCTTTTGATATCCCTATGTTGTAACCTTTTGGTACCTTCTCATACCATTGAAATTTTTACACCTGCTGTTAAGCTCTGTACCTTCTAAAATTTTTATTACCTTTTATTTTTTTGTACCTTCTAGTATGTTCTGAAATTTTTATACCTTCTGCAATTTTCTCCTAACTTGTCTTTTTATATAGCCCTCAAATAGGCTTGACATAACTTTTAAATTTACATAGGTGGAAATCACCCTTCTGATTGGTCAATAAGTCCAAAGGTGTATATGTTTTTTGAATTCGAAAATGAAAACATAAACTGTCCACTTTTAACCAACTTATTTTAAACAGTTCTTTTTCAAATGATATTTTTAGAAAGTTTGAAATTGTTTCACATCAAATTTTTTATTAACTGCCTGGGTTTTTTTTAAAATTAAATTTAAAAACACTTCTCATAAAAGCAATAAACAAACCTAGACAGTTATAATATTTATTTTTTTCTATCTTCACCTTCTTATTAATGAAATCATCTATTCAATTTACATTTTTTATCTTAATTTTTATATTCTCTGCTCAAGAGAAAGAGCAATAAACAAACTTATTGTATTGTATTACATTCAGTCAGTCAGTTATATGCCATGCATAATACACGCTTAGGTGATCATGTATCTTTCGATACATGACTGACAGGCAGATTTTTCCCACAGTAGGTTGCCATTTAATTCTGTGGTAGACTAGTTGCCCTCCAAGACTACAGAACCTGGTCTGTCCTGGTACTTACCCATAGCTGGGGGAGAAGAAGAGGATTCATACCTTTCCCAAAGGTATTAGCATGTAAAGGAATGTGATGGATTAGCATGTAAAGGAATGTGATGGATTAGCATGTAAAGGAATGTGATGGATTAGCATGTAAAGGAATGTGATGGATTAGCATGTAAAGGAATGTGATGGATTAGCATGTAAAGGAATGTGATGGATTAGCATGTAAAGGAATGTGATGGATTAGCATGTAAAGGAATGTGATGGATTAGCATGTAAAGGAATGTGATGGATTAGCATGTAAAGGAATGTGATGGATTAGCATGTAAAGGAATGTGATGGATTAGCATGTAAAGGAATGTGATGGATTCAGCTCTGATTCCTCAATCCATTACTCCACTGTATTACATTACTTTCTTATAAAAACAATTTTTATACTACTTTTTACTTTAAAGTACTTAACTCACATTAAAACTAGGAAACTTTTGTTTTTGTTCAAGTCATACACTTAACCTTTAAGATGAAAATTGACAAGATAGATGAGTTTAAGGATAGTTTTAAAAATCACCAAATATCACCTGCTACTGAAAATATCTTATTTTAAAGAAATCATCAGGTCGGTTGTCTTGCTAAAGTTTATCATTGGATTCTTCTGAGAATAGCAATCTCACCAAGCAATGTCTTGGCACGTGTATCCATGTGTTGGGGGAAAGCTCAACTTTTTTTCTTTTTTTTTACAATTATATTATATTCACTCTGTACAAGGCCCAAGAACCCTTCGAGGTATAGGGTCACAGAGTAAGAGGCACAATTTATGGAGTTATGTGGGGAAGATAACGATTGACTCTAGACTTGAACAGGTTAAGGTTGTAATGATTGGGAGTTAGTTCCACAAAGCAGCGATTCATGGGAAGTATCTACTTGAATGGAATTTACATCTTACCAATGGAATATGACTGAAATAATGGTAGTTCGCTACAGTGTGTGGCGTAGTGGGTCTCAGAAAGGGATTGCATGGAAGAAAATAATTCACACCCACAAATATGCAGAGAGACCTTTGGACTCTATCAAGACTGGAAAATGAAGACTGAGCATTTCTCGCCCATATATGACAGCAGTATTCCATTTTTGGCTTAATTTGGCTCTTGTAAAAAGGTAAAGGACAACAGGAGGAGTCAAGTACTTACTGGAGCAGTACAGGGAAATGACCATTTTTCCCAGCATCTTTCTTTAAATCTTTAGCAATGGGTCGTATGTATGAGTTCCACTTGGGGTAACTTAGAAAAACACTAAAAACAGTAAGAAAGACACTAGGGTTGAGTTGGTAACAATTAAAATAATAAATCAACTGAGCAACCTATTTTTATTTTTTTTTTATTTCCAGCTTCCATATACATTTCCTTATTTTTTTGCGAGCAGACCAATTTATTTAAATAGTGCTCATTTATATTATAAATTTTATTTTTATAAGGAATAATAATGGTAACTTGAGGGTTGTGGTGGTAGTTCATCACAGCTGCTAACAGCAGTCAAAAAAATTACTCAGGCTTGTCGCCACAGTAGGGAGCCGGCCTTTAAGTCTGGGGGGTGCGATTAAGAATTTTCGCACCAAAATTAGTTCACATCATTTTCGCAGAATGTATTTTTTTTTTTTTTCATAATGTCTCCCACACCTCCATCGTTTGTTGAGTTCGATCTTTGTTGGGTGTTTTGCACACTGACACGTGCTACTCTAAGCAAAGCTTTAACTTACTTGGCAATTAGTAACGACCTTTAAGAAATGTAAAGCAGAAAGCTCTTTCCCAACAGTCTGTCACAACTCAAAAGGCAAAATTTCAAAATGTAGTATTTCTTTGTGCTTTTTAAAGGTAAATTTGAAACTTCAAAATGACTGATGATGGTTATTTAAAAACAAAAAAAAACTTTAACTGGGGACCCGTTTCCCGGGAAGGGCCTACCCCTCTACAAACAAGTTTACCTACATTAGGTCGTCAAAAAGGACCATATTCTGATGCTTGCAGAAAAAGAAAGGAACCGAATAGTTTCTGGATGCTCCATCATGTAAGGTCGAATCGATAATCGGATTCCATATTTAAAAGACGGTGCCAAATTTGTCCGATGACAACTACAATGATACTTAAAACTAAGTTTTTTTTTATGTCTCGTCCTTTTTCACTAGGTAGACGATAATTTCTTATCTGTGAATAACTGCGATGACTTCTTTGAAAATACAATGATGTAATTTCTTTTTTTACCACAGTTTTCAATTCAAGGCTCAAAAAGTCCAGTCGTTCTGCTAATAATCAGTAACTCAAGAAAGGAGCGATGAACTTCACTTATGCCTTTCCCAAGGGCATTTGTGCAAGAAGTGATTTGGCCCAAACTTGAACTCAGCCCGATTAAATTAAGGTTATAAAAATTACACGTGAATGAGTTTGTTTTTTTTTTTTTAATTTTATTATTTTTATTTTAAAAGATTTTGTTTACTGTCACACACAGAAATAAAATATCTTCTTGCCGTTAGAATGGCACGTTACTTTCAAGTTTCAACAAGTTTCAATTTCTTCAAAAACGAGTGATTTGTTTTTAATGTACACTACAGTTTTCCAAAAGTCGCATTACCATTAATAACCTAGTAATTTTATATTCATTTACCCAAATGGAATCATGTTTTTCTGTATATGATAATAAATTTTATTTTTATTGGTCGAAAGGATGTCATACATATTTTCAATTTTCCTTGGTTTTTATTTCACAAGCCTACGTTTTCTGCCAATTGTCGCGTGACTTTTGGAACACTGTAGAATAAAAAAAAAACACTCTCTTGGTAATTCAGTGTATTTTACTTACGATCTGACAGAAAGAAAACCAACAAGGGAACACAAATTAATTAAATTCTCATTTTCTCTTTCGTTTCTTACCTGTTTCCACACTCTCAATAAGGTATCAATGTCCCCAATACCTTTTCGGCATTGGATATTCTGACGTATTTCGTCTGTATTCTTCAGATTACACAAATAATCCCAATCAAACTTTTCGAGCCTGGAAAATGTTGTTTGTGCTTTCTCATTTTTGGGATGGAGCGAACCGCTAGCACTACTACTAGTACTAGCCATAAAAATATTTGGTTTTGTATGGAACCATGCTGAAAGTCTTATTTGGGCTACCTTTCTAAAACTAAAAGATAACACACATGTATTTCGAAGATGGTACATAACATACATTCCTATATACCAGCTACCTCATGTGTTTTGTAAAATGCAATTGGAGCTGACGAGAAAAATCAAATTTAAACTTCTCCAAGTATACCATTTTCTTACAAAACACCGTTTGAATTGCTTCCCTTTATTTGCTTAATTATCTCCCCTGATTAGTGTTTAAACTGTTACCAAATAAAATATACATTTTTTAAAACCTGATTATGTATTCTAAATTTTAAACAAACATTTGAAGCCAGAGATTTAAAAAAAATCTTATGGTCCATGCTAAGAAGCAATAAACTTACTAACTAGAAGAAAAAATTCTGCTTCAATTTAGCATTAAAGACATTCATATGAAATACTTGCTTGTCATTGTGTTTGCCCAATACCTAAAAAGAAAAGTGAAGAGAGACGTGTTGACTCTCAAAACGTTTAATAATTTTATGTGAACCTAATTAACCGTTATTAACCTAGCCAATTAAAGTTTGGTGCATAAGAAAAAGATTTTCTTTTCAGTCTTTTATGTGCCATGTCCCACAACTTTCTATTCCTTGTAGTTCTTAGCAATATTTGTCTTTCTCCCCCCTTTCCTATCTTGTTTATTAGGTAAATCACTTGCTGTTTTCCTCTGTTCCTCTTGTCTTGTTAGTGTCAAATTTTCTAAGCTTTCTTTCCTCATTATGTGGCAACTCGCTCTTTTTGGTTTTAAGTATAAGTCGTTTTTGTTTCCATTTTCAATAAATTATTTTCAATGCTTAAATGGTCCAAGGTATTCTCTGCATCCTTCTGTAGAACAACATCTCCATTGCCTTACATCTCCCCATCATCTGTTAGGAAATTGTCTAACATTCACTGCCATAAAGGAGGACAGATATTACATAGAAGTTCAGCAGTAATTTCTTTGTTTCTAATGATATATTCCAGCTTTTTAATACTTTGTTTAGTTTTTGGGAAGTATCTTTTGCTATTCCAACATGCTTTCAGATTTTGGTGTAACCTTTTCCATCATCTGTTAAATTACTTCCCAGATATGTAAACTTCTGTACTTCTTTGATTGTGACATCTCCAATTCATAGTTCACTTTTTGAGCTGTTTTGTTTGTTGACAACATTTTGTCTTCTTATAACTGATGGTCAGGCCTTTCTTTTTGCTTTTTTTGTTACTTTGCCTAGAAGTTCCAGCAATTATTTTTTGTTTCTACTATCAATATGGTGTCATCTGCATATCTTGTATTGTTAAGATTGTGTCCATTGATAATAAATCATGGTAGGGCATCTAATTCAATTAGGATTGCTTCACTGTAAAAGTTAAATAAATCTGATGAGAAGACATATCCTTGTCTGATGCTCCTTTCTATCTTTGTGTACATAATTGCTAAATAACTTCACAACACCATGTAAGCACCAGATTTCACAAATACACTTGGTTTTCTCACCCCTTAAAATGAATAAATAGGATTTATTTCTGTTAAGTCAAAAACTTTTGTTTTCTATGCGTATTTAGTTATTATGCATCTGTGTACAGGTAATTAAATGAAAAGTATTTTTATTCATTAGTTTGTAATACAATAAATTAAAAATTTGTATGTGTACAAATATTTGTTTCCTCCCACTGTATATACATAATTTATTTTTCACACACACACACATATATATGAATAATCTATTTTTAGTAAATAAATATATAGTTGCATAATACATTTTCGATGTGTCAAGGGTGGTCTTCAGTGATGCACTGTCCTCATTGCCGATTTTGGGTTTTGCATCATATCAGCTCAAACAGCAACCCCGACCTGACTCTGAACGAGCCTCGCTGCTGCCTTTAAAGCATCATGCTATGCACCTCAAATTGCAAAAAAAAATATTCCGACATGACTAGAAGTTCAGCTGTTCTTATTGACATACGTCAGTCAGTGTCAGCCAATGAAAAAAGACTTTTCATGCTCCCCTCCTATATACTGGTGTCTTTTTACTTCATCTGGTCACAAGATTGAATGCTTGAAGAAAGACCCAAAGCCACATACCCTTAATGTTGACATGAGTGCAGAAGTGATTAAACAGTTATTTTACATGTGAAAAATTTAGTCTTGTATTATCAGACATAACCATCATTACACATGTAAGCATTAATAAAACAGTCATAACCAAACTCAAGATACAGATTCTAGTCTTCTTAAATCAGTTATAGTATCCAATTTTAACAATTTGTATCTTTTAAAATAAAAGATAAGCTTGTTTTTATTTCTGCTTTGTCTTTACCAAAAGAATTTCTAGCAGCTTGTAATCTTATTTGAACTTATTTGTACCTGAAAAAAAAACCCCAAAAACATATACAAAAGAAAAAAATTATTTAAAAATCTCCAAATCTTATTATTTATGTAAAATTATGACATTTTTAATTTTTGTTGGTTTGCTGTTGTCTACATACAAAGAGAATTGGTGAAGAACTTTTTAGCAACCCTCATTTCATTTTCAAACATTTTCTTGAATTTCATTGGTTGTTAAATATAAAATAAGCTTTGAGAAATTTCCATAACAAAACAATCAAATTTTGTGCAAAAGTAGGCTCAGCTGACGTAAAAAAATCTTTCTCAAATTCATCCCTAATTTAAATGTTTCAAGAAATCCTATTGGCTAAAAAATAAAAAATACAACATTCACCCACGCATTGAGCTGTTTGGTCATTAAAAAAACTATAAATAGAAATGGCGAATGAATTTTCGTCACAATTGTGATTCACACAATCGGTCCCCCAGTGCTGGGGTAGAGGTGAACAGGAAGCTGTTGGGCACTTTTGTGCTGTCTCGGTCAGTTTGTCAGGGTTGACCATTGTCGCCCCTACTTTGTGCTTTGGCATTGGAGCCTCTCCATCACCAGCTGAGGGACAGGACATGCAGTCTGGCCCTACGTAGAATTGCTGTCCCTGGAGGGGCTCATACCAGGGTTTCTGTGTATGCTGATGATGTATCTACTTTCATGTCATCCTGCAGCGACATTGAGGTGGTACTGAAGGTGCTTGATCGGTATGAAAAGGTGACAAGGGCCAAGATTAACCATGACAAGTCTTCTGGCTTGCAGTTAGGTGCCTGGAAGGGGGTTGATTTTCCGGGGCCCTTTGGTTGGACAGACGGTCCTGTCTGCATTCTTGGAGTGTGGTTTGGACTGGAGAAAAATTGGTCAGAAGTATGGGTGAAGGTTGGCGCGACCGGTGAGACTTGATGCCGAAGGAGGTTGTCCGTGAAGGGCAGAGCGGAGGCGTGTGCCACTTACGTCTTCCTGATTGTCCTTTACAGCTTGGGCATACTTCCTCTCTGTAAGGACCATAAGAAGCCGCTTGTGCGATTGCTATCCTTCAAGAGAAGTCTGTGCACAACGTCTGGGAATGCCACACTTGCTGAGCCACAAACTCGCCTTGAGGCTGGCTTTCCTACACTGTGCATTGACAGGAGATTCGATTATGGCACTAGCGGCGGATTACCTCAGCAACCCTGAGTTTTCGCTTACCTGATGACTGGCTCTGAATAGGCTATCTCAAGGCCTTCGTATGGGGCTTGGCAGATATTTGCCAGACTGTGACCTTGGCTTAGAGGAAACGGCTTCGCATGCCTTCTACCATTGTCCTTGGGTCCAACCCCTATGGGACCATGTTGGCAAGTTGATGGTTTGTATCGCTCCCAAAATGCTTGTGCCCATTGATTGTGCATACATGTGTGACAATGTGTTGCCCCTGTATTCTGGGGTGAAACAAATGGTTAGGCTAGACAAGCTTTGTATACCTAAATGTGAGTAAATGTTCTTCCTGGCCTGCTCCTGGCTGCATCTTTGGTTATGATCCAAGTTGAGATTCTCAACCTCCCCAGTTTGTTTTAACCCCACTTTTCATCTTGACTGGGTCAACTTTTATATTTCCCATGTCCGTATATATTTTCTCTTTCCCCTCTCCCTTAGCAAGAGAGCCTCTTGATTTTGTCCAATGGGTAGAATACAGTGGCCTCTCTCTTTTTAAGGGTTGGACGGGTCCTACTAGCTTCAGTTATATTTAGTTTGATTTGCCTTGTTTTGTTGTTTCATTCCCTCCCCTCTCATTCTTCATCTGTAAATTTTTATATATATTGCATATATTTTATTATCATCCAATTTTTAAGCCATGGGGAATGTTTTCTGTAGGTCCCTCTGAGAGGATGTGGTATTATGGTGGATGGAGGATTGATTGGTGATGGATGAGTTCTTGTGGTGAATGGGCAAATTGTAACGAGTGAATGGGTTGTGAATCAGATTAGCTAGGTATACGATAGTCAGTGTGGGCCAACCTCAACCCCTTCCTCCTTGTGCCATAATTGTAGTCTTATAATAAATAAATTGAAATTCACACACGGGAATTATGTGTCAAATAGCCGCCAAAGAAACAAACTTCCTTTATGAGAGATTAGAAAATTTTACACAACAAACTTTTTCACTCAATGTCTTTCATAGAAAAAAACTTTTGTCTAAGTTTAATTCAACCTTTTAAATCAAAGGCAGGCAACTTTTTCGACATTGAACATTTCCAAAACAGCAAAGAACTTTTTCTCTTAAATATACTTTTGCACACATCATTACAAACAAAGAAATTGTAAATTACGTATACAAAATTTGTTTCAAATATGTATTTTTTGTCGTGATTGAATATTAACATTTGGCTATTTCTTATAATTTATGCTTGTGGATATTGCATATTTTAATAATTGCAGCACAATTTTAAATATTCGCGCAGCCTTCCTAGATCCACTACAAACCTGTACAATGAATTTAATTAACACTATGTTACCAGTATAGATTGCTCTACCGAGGCTGTGACAATTCGCAGCTGTTGTCAAACTCTCTGCCTTTGGGTGGAGAGGAGCCCAGACAAAGCTGTGCCAAAGGGCAGTCTTGTCC